TATCACGTTAAACGAAATCGGGTGAATGCATCTCATATTTCTTAGATTTGGCCTTACATCATGCATGTTTTATATTATAAACATGCATTTTAATGTGTCTTTGTCTTTTGATTTGCTTTTGATGATCAAGGCGTAGATCGGTGAATGGTTGCCAAAAGTCAAGCTAATATTTTTGGCCAGTTACGAGGCCAGAATCCAAAGATGGACTACATGTGCTGTCCATTAGAAATCTTATCATTTTTAATAAGTATGATAAATAGGATCCACTTGAGTATACTTTGAGATAAATCCACATTTTGAAAGCATTTTCTCCTGAAGCCCTGAATTGCTAAATTCCGCATGATAATCTTGCCTTTATCCTTAAGTACCATAAAATCAAATGTCTTATCATTTTTTCTCAGCTCAATCTCCAATTGCGACAATGTTTTCATTTGTGTATTCAGACAGAAGAAAGTATTACTGGCCAATTTCTAAAAGATTACATCACTGACCTGAGCAAGGACGCGATTGATATTAGGAAATGTTGGTCTTTTTAGGTTGAGATGATCCAAGCAGATATTCATTAGAGCGGCGTTATCTGAAAGTATGTTTATGTCAGCAGTTGTGAAGCCAGCGCCACATGCTAAGATGGTATTGTACGACTCAACCGTGCAGCAGGATAGCGTGGGACTTGGGAAAAGCGAAACTGAGATTCGCGGTGATCGAGGATATTCTTCGGCTAGCTTCTCTAGCAAGGCTAGGTGATAATAAAGACAAAACTATCACTATGTTATGCCGTCAATCCACATATCGAGCAAATCTGTATGTAACTGGCAGTTCCGATAAAAAGGATAAACTTATTATCAACTCAGTACTACTCATTTGATTGTGGGAATATTTATCTATCAGTCCTTCATCACATTATGCAAATTGGAACTGGTATTCAAGATTTATGGATAATTTTAGAAACGACTTTACACAAAAATAATCAGCCCAGCATTTTGACCTACCAGGTATTTGGAAGCAGGAAAGCAGAGTCTGTTACTTCGACTTATTATTTAAGTAACTTTCAGATAGACCCAAATTTCTGGTGTGAACCCATGAATTGTTACCGCTTTTCACAGCCAGCTCTGATAAAGACTTATGCTTTCTGTCAAGCTGACTGGACGTGATAGGAAGTCATCTTTTAAAAGCATCCATGAAATGCTCCGTCTTAGTTTTGCCGTAAACTAATTAGCTTAAACGAAGCATTTCACCTCTCAAGGCTCGGATTAACATCTCATCAATCTCGTGTGCAACCCAGACTGCATCATACTTCGTCATACCAATTCGTCTAACCTTATTGTAAAGCAAACCTCTAAGAAACTAAACTTTGCCTGGTACTTTTGTCAGCTTACACGACACAAAGCCTGAACCAGTGCCACCTGACAGGGACTGGTAGATGACAAAGCCCTGCAGGTGTTCGCAGCTCTCAATTTCGTGGCGCAGAGCCTCCCAAGTGGACGGCATGATTTCTTGACCGATCCTGAAATAGCCACGCGCGAAGTTTGATGAAGCATCTTCATAGCCACTTATCAGGCGAGCTGGACTGAAGAAATTTCTGTAAGCACCGACACGGATCTCGTCTGTCAGGGGGGGGGATGATAAAAAAAGGACAAACTAAAGAAATTGCTGATATAAACATGAAGATGGCATAGCCTCTATTTTCACAACTGGTCTCGGTGTCAGAGAGACCCAGATCGATGCGTCTTGTCTAGACTCCTCCGTCAGGTTTCTCATGACAATTCCCGGCGTCAAGTTCTGTGATCTTTGCCACTCTTAGCACCATCCTACAAATCGTCAGAGGTCAAGTTGCAAAGGCTTAGTCAAACTAATTACAAAAAACAAAAAGGTACCATACATAGCCTTTTTAACCAACTATAGAAGGTACTAATTGGATAGGTTCACGGAGTCTAGCGAAGAGATTAAAAATGAAGAGTAATCTGAAGATTCTTTGCGAAAACCACCATATATTAACTGGCTAATTGAGACTTTAATGCAAAATGCAAGTCTGATTCTGTAATTTTTATGCTTTTTCAATATTTATGACAATAATCGACTAGTGTATTGGGCTTAAACTTCCTTTCATGTTCAATGACATGAAGACCACGATGGTGGGGCTTATGAAAGGGTCTCCTTATGATGCATAAAATGGACTGACCTTGTTTTCGCAACTTGGTCATGTTGCCAGGAGATTACCGTATTTCCCCATGTATAAGCACCCACTTTGTATAAGCCACCCCACAATTTTTTGACTGAAGTTTTGAAAAAATATTTTATTAGTGAAACAAGTTACAAAGAAAGAAAA